TCACTCTTCTTCATAATAAAGAATCTTCTATCCAATTCTGGACTGAACTTGGACAAGATTGGTTAGCTTCTGTAACAGCAAAAATTAAGCAGGCAAGATAAATAATTCTGTTTAGATCTTCAGCCACTTTACTAACAGTTGCTGGAGTTACTAGAAGAGCTGTAATCTGTAAGCAGAACTTTGGCTTCATCTTTCTCACTGCTCATCAAAAGTAAACCGCGACTGACTGAGTTTGTTGACCCTTAGCAGCTCTTCATGGATGACAGGCTAGCAATGTTCCTTAACTGAGAGAAGTTGTTTTACAGGAAATATCTCCTAACATCTCCTTGTCTCTAACTTTTTCTCCTCTGCGAAAAATATTAAAACAATTGTGTATCAACTGTTCTGATGTACAAAATTTTTTATATCGATTCATAATCCTTCTGGACTTGGATCTATGGTGATATTTTCAGGTGACAAATCTGTTTTTTCCAATAGATTGCAATGAAAGCGTGAGGACAATTAAAAACCACCTTGTCTCCAATTCAGTAGCTTTTAGCGTTATAAGGGTTTTGTTTTATTGGTTTGCTTCTACTGGTTACAGGTTCAGTGTTGAATTGGTTACATTACTGATGTAACTTAAGCAACTGTAATAGGATTGTAAAATAATTGCTCTGTCTGGAAAATCCCTTATGTGGTAACTCTTGAAAGCTTTATTTTGTTACCTAATTTGGAGAATACATGAAATTTATATGGTAAGCCAGCAACCCTTAAATGGGTTTAAAAGGGGGGGTGGGGGGCAAGAAGAAGAAAAATCTGCACATGAAATTTCTGCATGGGAAAGAGAAAAGTATGATTTGCTCACTCCTTGCTGAATGGCTTTGTACTCTGTGGTGTTGTGAGGCCCCACTGTTCATGGAACCCTGGCATTACCAGTGGCAAAGAACTTTGTTTCTCCTCTGTATCCAGCTGCATGTTTTCATGCTTCATTTTGGTTTTGAATCATGGCATTTTAATCCAGATTTTAAGACCCTAGACAAGTTTACTGCAATGAATTCCACTGCCACTGCTCACATCAGGTAGCGTTAACCAAACAGGTAGCAGGTTTATTAACAGTTCTTCAGCAGCTGCACCAGCTTGGAGGTCCACTGCTAAACATGGACAATCATACGCTACCTCTGCAGGTTTTGCACAAGTGCTTTTTGGACTGTATACAGAATAGAACTGTGGTAAACATTATAGTAACAGGAAAGTTGTGAAAGGAAACTATGCCCATTTCACAGAGTGCTTAGTTTGCAAAGTTGTGTGGGACTTGCAGCTATTTCTGTACCTTCTCAAAAGTTACCTTGGGTTGTCTGGAACTGCAGAACCCTGGGTCCCTTTTCCAGAAATACACAAGCAATGATGCACAGTGTGAACCGCTGCAAGAATGCAATCTCTCACAAAGCTGACGCTGTGTACACAAAAGATCGTGCTGCTGGACAGAGATCAACTGAACTGGCTGAGGTAGTACTGATTTGAAGAAACTATGAAGAATTGCCAGGACCATCAACAACAACCTCTTTCCCCTTAAGGACAGAGCTTTACCATACAGCTAAGTTAGTGATTAATTGTTGCTGGAATTTGTGCTCATTTTTCCTTCCTTCCAGCTATAAAATTGTACCGCTCCCCCAAGTTCAGTACTGTCACTTGCTTGACCTTTCAGGGAGGAAACCTGACAGAAAACCAACCATTCAAAAGAGTGGATCAGAGCTCTTTCACTGGGGAGGGCATGGTTTGTGGCTCATCTCTGCTGCTGAAGATCTGATGAAAAGCTAGAAACTACTCTATTAAGGTAGGCATCTGACTCGCTTTCTGTGGAAAACTTGCAGTAGTGGAGTACTTCACGGTTTCTTACATTTTAATATATTAAAGGGCTGTTTCTGAGGGTCTCTTTGAAAGTAGACTCAATTGTTAGAAACTGCACCTGGGTTCAAGAACATGCATATTTTGATTTCTATCTCGTATACAGTTTTCTCCTGTATGAGCCTTCCAAGACGTGAGATCCTGAAATTCACAGATTGATTCCGGGCTATGCTGACTGCCATGTGAGAACATAACCAGGCAGCACAAACCAGTGCACATCCTTCATGTCACTTGCTCGGGAATGGAGCTCTGGTACACTGTCAGGAAGGAGGCCCCAACAACACTTCTGCTGCCTAGTGCTGAAGCTGTGCTACAATGTGAAAAACAGTAGCTTCCAGAAAGTGCTGGTGCTGAAATCTAATTGAATGTGTTGCAATTACAAAAAAAAAAAAAAAAAAAAAAAAAAAAAACCAAAAAAAAAAATTTTCCCTTCTAAAGGCTCTTTGACTGCAGAGCACAGGACAGCAAGGCTGCCATAGGTCAGCAGTGGTGGAAACTGCATGCAGCTGGAGCAAGCTCAGTGAAGAGTTATCCTCTTCCAATGCATTCCAAAGTCCAACTTTTAAAGACCTCTTTTTTTAAAAAAGTATTACTTCATTTTCATATAATTTATTTTCTGAATAATCTATAGCCAGTAAAAAGATGACCTGCTTCCCTCTTAAAGCATTCTTGTGGTTTTGCAATTACGCTTTCTGTATTTTTTTAATGTAACTTTTTATTCAGTTTCCACTTCTTTATCTCTCTGCATTTCAGTCTTGTCATTTCAGTTATTGTTAATTAAATATAGACCCCAGTATTCCTACTGTTTTCTAACTCCTCTAAAACATGTTTGTGCAATTAAACCCTCCCCCAGTATGGTAGCTTTTCAAACTTACAGTTAATCTTTAGGGCATGTTCCCAAATAACTTCTGAGGTTAAAAAACACTGCTTTTGACTAAATAATTCCTCACACATTTTATATAAATGGATTCATGTGAAAAATATCTATACAGATGGCAAGAAGTTTGTTATTCTAATTTCACTTCTCTGGGATAATAAACTTTTCATCTAACTGCACAATAAAGTAAACTGGATGAAATTTCATTTGCAATGACACCTGATATACCTGTTATCTTTCAAAGGCAATTGATACTGCTAATAATGAAAGTATAATTCATTTAGTAAGGAAGAAAGACCATCCTCAGGAAAAAGAAAAGCATTGTACTTCATTAAGAAATGTTACACTGGAAAATCCATTTTGTATGAAAAATTATGAATAAACTACAGCAGTAATGAAGAGTGCTAATTTTAAACTAGAAATCAGACATGTACTGTTTCTAGGGGTGTAGATTGATACCAATTTCTCTGTATTTACATTATCTTAATCTGGGAACATAGTAAACTGGATATGGTTTGCTAGTTTTAGTTCTGACATAGGCAGAATTTTTTAATTATTAAACAAATAATCATTGGATCTTTTCCACTTCTTTTCTTTAAATTGCTCTTTATAGAAGGCATTTAAAAATCCCTAAGCTCTGAAATTCTGCTGTGGATTCTTCTCAAGCATTCAGCATTGGTCTAACTGTAACAGAAGTCATTGCCACTGACTTAACCAGAAGATAATTAGGTCAAAACTTTCCATTTTGTTGTAGCTGGTTTAAAAAACTAAAAATATATGTGTTAAAAAGTAAGAGTCACTTTTTCTGAAGTAGTCATCTTAAATTATAATTCAAATTAAATACCATATTTATTTGAAAAGTCTTTTTATTTACAAATTATATGCTATATCTTTTTTGAAAGATAACAGCGTAGGGTTGGGTTTGTGGTTTTTTTTTTTTTTTTTTTTAAATAGTGACTAAATACCTTCTATAATTAAGAATTCGACTTTGGCTTTGTCTGCGGAACCATCCTTAACACCTTAAACGCACAAATAATTCAAATGCATAAAAAGTGAATTTTGTAGAGTGAACAAGGCAGCTAATGTGTAATTCTAGTTCTAAGTATTCCATTTACATATGTTCTTAAGAAAAAAAACGGTATCCTTCTAGAGAGAACATGAAAGCTGCCAGTTATCTTAATGATTGCTTATGTGGAAAAATACTTAAGGAAGATAGCCTGCATATGAACTTAAACTTAAATGCTTTGAATACATTCTGTACAGAGTCCTTTCTCTACTTAATAGCTTTTCTAAACAAGGAAATAACTTGGAAAGACTCCCAGTATGACATCTCTGTTACTTTGAACCTGAGCACTGCTGTGGAGCTTTGCTTAGTAGGTAAGTAGTTAAGCTTCATAGCTTAACAAAATCAAACGAGGGAGCTACTGAAATTTGAAAGAGGAACTGTTTAAAGAAAGTGAAAACTCTGCTTTTTTCTATCCTTTCATATTTTTCAGTCCCCTAAAACCTTCATAGACAAATCACTCCCATCTTAAGAAAAAGAGATAGCAAATGTATGCAGTACCCAACAAATCCACCTTGTTTTGATGGAAATTGAGTTCTTTCATGTGTTAGAACTGCAAATCATTTATTATTTCTGCACTTTCTGTCTGCACCAAGTGCTAAGTAGGTTCATGGGTTATAACTAAAATCTGCTACCTCATACTCAAGAGACTAGGAGTGCGTACACAGTCACTTGCCACAACTCTACTAGCAGGTTGGGCACTGAGATGCTTCTATAATTTGCATTCTTGCAATTTTCTGTCTGTACTTTAACACACATTTACATAGTCTGGGACCATCTTATGAATTCTGCAAAATCTTATTTAAAACTGTTGTCAGCAGATGATAAAAAAAAAGCCTGTAATAAAACAAATGTTAGGAGTCAATAAAGAAATACCTATCCAAGACCTAGCTGTGTATGTAGGACAATCATACCAGGGGAAAATTTACCCTCAGTGGAGCTTTTGTGCAACTACCTCAAGATTCACTTCTCCCAGTGAATCCATACTTCTATGCTAATACTTTTAACTGTCAGTAATCAAAATAAGTGATTTTGTGTTCACAAAAAATACCAACGTACAAATAAAAATCCAGTCGATATACTCAATTCCAGTCAATTACCAGTTATTCCATTCTTGGCCACTTCAGAAAAATAATCTGAATTATAGTTCTCTGCTTGTTTCTATTAAAAACTTACCTGTTACAAGCTCTTTTATTTCGGCATCAACAGATTTTCTCAACAATCGTAAAAGGGCAGGTATCCCACCAACATTCTTCATTGCTATTTTGTTTTCATCAGTAGACTTTCCATAAACAAGGTTTCTCAGTGCGCCGCAAGCATTCTTCTGAACTTCCAGGACTCTGTGATCCAAGAGATCAACCAGGTGCTTGATTCCTCCTAGTCTACATACCTAGAAATGGAATGTTGGGAACATCAGCACCCACTGATTTCATCCATTTCACTCTACAGATTTAAAAGGCTTTTATTTTTATAAAAACAGTAAATTCCATTGTACTTCGAGAAGAAATATTGTTGGTAAATCTTAATAAGTTGATTGTTACACTCTACTGAAAATTCATGTGAATGACTCACATCCTTGTTGACAAGGCTGATGGATATTTTCAGTCATTTGCTGTGTTCAGAGAAGAATTGTTACTGCTAAAGTTTTGTTTCCCAGTAATGCAGTTTTTGAAGTAATTTCCTATACCTCAGAGTATCTTTCTAGGGAATATTAGAAATAAGAAGTTGCAAAGATTTAAATGCCAACTTTTACAGTTTGCTACACACAAACAAATCAGTTAAAATTAGTATATATCCACTCTTATTGGCATATCTGAAGTTCTTTTTAAAAGGAAGATCTACTCTGCAGAAATTTCATAAAACAAAAAGAAATTTTATATTGTTTGCTTTAAACAGGTTAGTTGCATTTATTCTTTGTTATATAGTTTTAAAAAATTTTAACATTGTGTTTTGAGATCTCATTTCCATGCAGTGCTTTTCTTTGTTCAAAATAACTTAAAGAAATGACAAAAGATTAAAGTATTTTAGAATCTGTAATATTTACTAAATAAAAAAATATTTTAAAGAGATAACTAAGTAGTATTACTTACAAGATTAATTTTAAATTAAAAATCACCACCAAAAGGATACCAAAATATTTGCTAGGAACTGTTTTTAAAAAAATATGAGCTATTTTGCAATATAAGATTGATCTATTACAACCTGGTATTATTTTAGCACAGCACAATAACTTTTGTGCCATACTATACACAGAGTATGCCTACTGAAGTTGGCATAGGATCTCTTAAAAAATCCCACGCCTACAGCAGCTGAACTGCTGCTGCCCTAAGAAGGAGATCCCATGGTGAAAAGAAGAGACACACCACCATTCCTGAATACTTTGCTTATACGGGATGTGGTTCTGGGCCAAACAGTCAGAAGAGATGTAAAACGTAACAGTCCTAAGGATTCTCTTCTTCAGCATTAAAAGCACTTTTAGGGGCCCCTTTTCTATTCTAACCTGTATAATAATTAGTTTGGCAAGCCACAGGGCTATCTGAAATACATTAATGCGTACAAAGTTTAATGGACTTTTGGCTTTAAAAGTTCAGTGTCTTTTATTGGCCATAAGACAAGGAGAATAAAATTATTCTCAATGAAAACATAACTGAGATTTAGCCAAACCATTTTAAGCTGATACTTTGAAAACCAGAATCTTCTCTCTATTACATTCTTAAAAATTGCATTGGGTATCAAAACAGTTAATATCTTTATCTACGCCTTAAAACAGCCAAATTGAAGAGGCTTGGAAAAAAACAATTGAAATGCAAGGGCTATGACCAGCACTGTATGTGATTTTTACCTGTAAAATCACCTCTTAAGTAGAATAAAAGAAATAAAATGAAAGACTGGTGACTTAGAAATTTTTTAGACCTCTGTTTAAAATGTGTATTTTTCAAAAGGAAACCTATATTTACACACCTAGCTATAATTACCATGTAAGTTATAAATCCAGGGATACAAAGTTTGGCGTTGATCAATTAGACAAGCCACTGCTATGCCAAAAGCCACCAGGAATCTGTATCTAAAGGCATTCAGTGGACTTTAAGCTTAATGTTATTCACCTGCCAAGATTTCTGTAGCTAGGAGATGAATATTACCTCACAGATTATTTATTTGATACAGACTACACTGAAAGCAAGATGCTATTAAAAAAAAAAGAAAAAGATTTAGAGTTGGGTTTTTTCAAAGCAAATAATTCTCATTTCTCCTACTAAATAATGAAGCAACAAATAAGTATTCATACTTTTCAGTTAAATCTCCCTCTTGTACGTCGATACAGCACATAAAAAACATCTAAACTACACATCTGTAATACAGATACAAGTTACGAACAACAAAATAGCTTTATCCTTTTTTCAATCTGTACTCAAAATTTGATGAGATACAGTTTTTGTGTATATAATTCAAAATAAAACTGGACTAGAAATCCATTCTTAAGACTTGTATTTTGCTGAGTCATTAACTATTTTAAAACGTAGCAGCTGTTGCTAGTTTGAACAGGCATTTCAATTTCTAAATTAAAAAAGATCAGAATTCTTGTAAAATGATACATTCATGAACTAATGAATCAGTATTGTATGTATTTACAGATAGATATTTATTACATGGAAAGGTAATTCATTCATTCTGTGTAGTTTCATAGCTAAAAGGTAAAGATTCCCCCCCCCGAAAGGAGCAGTTTCTTATGCTTACCTTCAGGTTTTAGCAATGCAAGCATTCAAGTTCATTTTGCTAGGCTTTTAATATCCTTAATAGTCTAGCAAATGAATCTGGTCTTTACCACAGCAATAAAATAATAAATTTAAATAATGAATGAAAATACAAAAGCAGTCCTCAAATAAGGCTTTACTGAATTTGGCACTAAAATAATTATGATCCTTTCCTATTCCAAACAGTTTCTTGTGCTGGCCTCTGCTGTGAAGGGAACATGAATTGCAGCTTTCCTATTGCCACAGATACCATCATGTTTTCAAAACATGCTGATCCCTACACACTATCCCAACTCAAGGGATGGCTCTTCTTCAGAGACTGAAAGCCTCATCAGGAAACACTGACGTAAGGCTTGCTTTCCCAAAAGCACAGGAATATTCTTTTCTCCTGGAAGCCAGACAATTTCCTTCTTTCTGTCACAGTATTCTGAACAGCTGATTATTGCCATTCAAAAGAAATAACTGCCAGTACCTAAACCTTCTCTGTTTGAAAAGGAGAAATTTTCTGTTCCAAAATTCCACACACCAAGTGGAAGGCAGGCTACATTTACAGTTGTCTCTCTGACTACTGTAACTTATCTTGTCTTCTAAATCAAAAAGAAGACCTTTTTCTTTGGATAAGGTTTTATGAGCTTGATTATATTGTATAATATCTCTATAATCCTTTATACCTGAACTGATTTTAAAACATATCAAATATTTCTAATGCTAAATAGGGTAAACAACTAAGACACCACTTCATACATCTCGTACAAGTTAGCACCACATTCAAATTCTGCTTAAACTTTGACATATTTCTTTTAGTTTCGTGTACTTTTGAAAAAAATAAAGGAGACATTCCATAATTTCTAAAACAAATTCTGTAATAATGAAAATGGAAACCATGAAGAAACACAAGATCTCCTATAAATGAACATGTGCAGACAAATGACATCCCAAGAATTCCTAAATAAGCTGTCATATCCCTTCTAAACAGCAAGACTAACTTACAAATCTATCTACATCTGATTATCACTGCGATCTTTATCAGAACATCAAAACCACCACCATCTTTTCATCTGCCTTCCAGCAACAGTAAATTATGTTGGGCTATCTTCTTATAAAAGCTGCACCAACATTTTATTAACATAAATAATATTTACACTGAAAATAACAGATGATAACACACATATATGATACAAACAAAAAAGCAAATTCCTTCAGATTAATAGCTCGTAGCTGCTCTGCAAAAAGAGCAGCTCTTCAAATGCAAACAGTTTCCAGAAATTTCAACAATAATCTGAATTTTCACTCAAGTGTATCCTTCCTCCACATTATATTGACATAAATAATATCCTCTATATATTTCTAGCGTTGGATTTCTTTCCCTTGCTTGACAGCTCACTCATTCCCTATGATGTCTTAAAACATCTTGATCAAAACCAGGGGAAAGCCTTTCAGAATTCTTGGGTTTTTAGTCTCCAGTCATCAGCAGGTTACACAAAAACAGGCTCTGGTAAACATACTGTACAGTTCTGCTAGATTACACAACTTGATGTAAAATATTTTCATATAATTTCCATGCAGCCTCTTATGACAGGAAAAATCTCTGTGTGTGTGTAATTACACACACCTAGGTACTTCAATATTATCATACACGTGGTACAAACAGAAACACAAAAGGGTCCAAAATACTGTGTTATGATGAAAAAAAAAGAGGCAAGAGGTCTAGTTTTTCTTTTATAGTTTCCCCAGGAACAGAAACGCACTCAGTACACAGTACCTCCGTTTTTACTTTGTTATCTCCGAAGCACAGGTGCTGAAGGTAGGCAGCTGCATTCGCCTGAACCGATGGGAACTGGTGTTGAAGCATGTGAATGACTTCAGGCAGTTCTGGATCTCGCCAAGCAAACTCCCTTCATTAGACGAACACATTCAAGAGAAGGCATTAGTTATAAATGTATGTTTATTTATTAAATAGAATTACTACAGTATCTGAAGTGTTTTTCAACAATTCCATTTTTGTTCTGGAGTATCAGGGCTAGGAGGAAAAACAGGTATATATAATGAGTCACATCACCTTTCAGGCTTCCAGTTGGAAAAGGACGCTTTGTATCGTATGTTCTTCAGTTAGCTTGGTTGTTGATCACTCAAATATATATATATTAAAATTATACCAACCCAAACACTGCAACCTACATAAATCTCCCCAAACTTAAATATCTAATGCAACAGATACCCACTTAACAACACTGCTCAGGGGCATCTCTTCCACACAACATTTTTTGCTCAGTGTTCAACGTTCTTCCTAGTCTGAAGTCAATTATACTTCAACAAAAGCTGCGCAGCCTGAAATTTCATCATCATGAACAGATGCAGGAAGTTTGCATAATCTGTCTTATTCAGGGATTGTAAACTTAAAATCAAATCTCCTTCATTAAACAAAATGATTTTGTGGAAGCAAATCCTGGAAAAGTCATTAAACATATCCATGCCCAATCCACAGACTTAGAAATATACTCATTAATTGTTGGGCTATCTTCCTCTGTAAAGGAAGATTGAGGGGAAAAAAATAGTATCTAAGTTTTTGCATGCTCAAAAATCCAAGTAAATTTAAAAAAAAAACAAAACCACCCAAACCAAACAAACAAAAAAGGATGTTCCAAGAATAGTATTTGGGGAGCTATTCAAAGGCTAACACTAGCCTGGCCAGTCAGGTCTCCCCAGGATTCCTACACTCACCAAAAAGGGAAAGTTCAGTTATGTGCCTACTTTGAATTGCTCAGCAACTTAGAGGTTTATTTCTCCATACTAATGATAGGCAGACCTTAGGGAAAACTGCCTTTCTAATAAAACTAGTAGCTTTCTGAATGTTCCCTCACTCTTTTCTAGAGTGATGCTTTCAAATACCCAGTCTGAGGCTATTGTAACACAATAACCTAACCTCTGCAACAGCATGATATGCAAATGAGAAACTGAAACAGATTAAAATGTAAGGTAAAAACTATTCCACTGTGAAATTATGAGATAAAAAGGTGCACCAGCAATGAAAACCGAGTCAGAATTTCTGTAAAGTTTCTTGTTATGAATGTGAACCATCCCTATTATAAGTAACTTTTCTTGTAAGCTATGTCAGAATAGGCCAGCAGTAGCATGCAGCTAGCAAGCATTACTACTTAGAGCTACAATTAGCCTATTAACATCATTTAGATGAATGTACCATTGAGTTAAATGAAATTAATCCAGTCTCTCAGTATCTATTTAAAAAAAAATAAATATTAATTTCCACTAATAAACAGAGCAACAAAATCTATTAAAACCAGTGCTTTTATTTTCAAGACTGAAGGATAGGGCCTAACTAGAAAATAACTCAATCCTGCTATGAGCCTTCTGTAATGCAGGAATCCCAAAAGATTTCAGTGTAAGACTCTAGCCTGACCATAGCTATTAGCTATCTTTTTTCAAAATTTGGTGCCTGAATGTTTCCATGTGAAAGACTCCTGAGGCATAACTGGAGTCCATATCCTCCACTATGAGGTGCTCTGCTTTCAGTTCTTTCTAAACCACCAGAACGTGTAATGTGCTTTCATGACCGAGGATTGTCTAGAAGCTGTCTCAATGAACTGGCAATCTAAAGACAGACTGGAATTTCTAGCAATCACATACCCATACTGAAGATAAACAGTACGATAAATCCCTCCAAGCTTTGCATGGACTGGGTTTTGATACTCCCATTTTAAAATACAAGGGTTTAATGAATAGTGTCTCTAATAAATTGTAATGATAGTACTACACTTGTCACATGCCCACACTGTGTACATACACTTACAACATCAAAGTGTTTAACTATTTTAAAAATATGAACATGTATTTGCTTTTAAAATGGTACATTTATCTATAATTTTTAAACGTACATTGTTTTGAAATTTAAGCAGGCTGCTCATGAAAAATTCATTCAAATACATTAGGTATGTACTTTCTAATTTTCAAACCCTGATTCTCATTCCCAGAAAGAGAAAACTTACAATATTACAGGGTGCTCTGTAGAGTTACTCAAAAATCTTTGGAATCCAGTCAATTCTCATCAAATTTATAAGTATTTCCTGTAATAACTTCTACATGAAAAATAAACATGGAAGAAAAATGTAGTAATAGCTAAATGCATAGAAGTTGCTCTTTCTTACTGTAACAAGTAGACTGCATTTATTACTTTGGCTATAAAGGTATAGATCTTAATATCTAAATTAGTCATGATTGTTTAAACAATGTAAAACTGGAATATGCACAACAAAGTGCTATATATATTCAAGGAATGTATTAAAAATCTTATTACAGCACATGTGTGTGATTTTTGAAAGCACAAATGGACTTGCCTGGGGTCTTTCTGGATGCTGTCTATGGATGGAGATCGCGTGGTCCCATCCTCGGCGGGCGTTGCATGCTGCAGCCTGTTATAACTGGACTCTGATAGTCGATACTGCATTGACCTGTAGGGTTCCGCATAGGTAGCTGTTGTGTTCAGAGCGTAATTATTTCTTTGGTATGTGAGTGTGCTACGCTGACTGGATGATCTTTGCAGATTTCCGACTCCTAGTATAAAATCAGTATTAAAACAAACTAGGTAACAAATGTCTACTGAAGAGAAGAGGCAATACGTGGTTAGAAGTGTAAGCAAAAAAAACCCAAACCACCACCAAAAAACCCCAGTCTTAAAAATGTGTACCGTGCTCAATGTTGAAAGCTATCGCCAGATTTAAGGGAGCAATTACTCAATGTCACAGGGAAGATAGAGAGATTAGTTACAGAACTAAAGGTTTGGTGGAACCAGGCTTATGCCTCAGCTTGTCTCAACAAATTCAATTACTAACAGTAACATCAGTTTGCCAACTGTACTAAATAGAAAAAAGAAAAATACAAACAACAATTTATATACTTTATATGATATTTTCCTTTTCCCAACTACATGTACATTTTCCCTGACAAAAAGCTAACAAGAAGATGATTTCAAAGATTAAGCTGATAATTTCAAAAACAGGAACATGTGTCTTCCTGACTCAACAGAGTAGCTTTTGTTCTTTAAGTGATATTAGGTAGACAAGTAAACAGAGAATTCCAATTTCGAGTTTTATTTCCTCATTAGCACATCCTGAGAAACTTAATTTATTTACTCTAGGTTGCAGAAAATAGGAGAACTGCAAAAACTTTCTTCCTTCAACATTCCATACTCTTAGTATTTCAGTTACATTAAAAAAAACATTAAAAAGCAATTTTCAAATGTGTGAAAACATGACATATGAGTCAGAGACTTCTCTATAAATATTTCTAGAGAGTTATTAAATCACTAATATTTTGAGAGTTTTTGGAAATTACTCCACTATACAAATTATTAATCAACCTTAAAGAACAAACTGCACTGCAACATGTATTACATTTCTCTTTACAGAAAATGAGTTCTAATACTAATCTAATGCCTATGCACTTCATAATACACGGGTAGCAATTCTATGAAATACTATAGATATATTTCAGTTTCAATATACAATCTTCAGGTATAGTATTTTAACATTACCCTTTGCTGAGAAGTTGGATGAAACCAGTATTTTTACTGTGAAAGATGCGATAGGTAATTTAAATGTACAAGCTATCATTTTAGTGTACTGATGAATTAAAACAATATGAACAAACTCAATTCATAAGAGAATGATGCACAGAGAATGCAAGAAGTAGCAATAAATTTTTTGTGTCATGAAGTAGCTTGGATGTACCCAAATGTGTGATATCAAACAGAAAATATTCTGACCCTAAGCTGACACTGATATATAGCCCCATGTCCTGGTTTCAGCTGGGACAGAGTTAACTGTCTTCCTAGTAGCTGGTACAGTGCTATGTTTTGAGTTCAGTATGTGAAGAATGTTGATAACACTGATGTTTTCAGTTGTTGCTCAGTAGTGTTTAGACTAGAGTCAAGGATTTTTCAGCTTCTCATGCCCTGCCAGGGGACCTGACCCAAACTGGCCAACAGGGTATTCCATACCATGTGACGTCCCATCTAGTTTAGGAACTAGGAAGGGGCGGGGAATCGCCGCTCGGGGACTGGCTGGGTGTTGGTCGGCGGGGGGTGAGCAATTGCCCTGCGCATCATTTGTACATTCCAATCCTTCTATTACTACTGTTGGCATTTTATTAGTGTTATCATTATCATTATTAGTTTCTTCTTTTCTGTTCTATTAAACCGTTCTTATCTCAACCCACGAGTTTTACTTCTTTTCCCAATTTTCTCCCCCATCCCACTGGATGGGGGGGGAGTGAGTGAGCGGCTGCGTGGTGCTTAGTTGCTGGCTGGGGTTAAACCACGACACCCAAGTATTTCTTGCAAACATCACAAAAGCTTTTTAATTCCTGCTGGTTATTTTAAGTCCTCCAAACCTAGTTTCTATCTCCATTAATTTATAACATCTAGTTTTAACTTTTAGACTACCGTTACATATCTCATAGATGTTCTCCTATATGCCATAGGTTCCAGGAAAACTCCAGTAAGTAAATTAAGCATGACTTTGGGACACCGTCAGTGGAGGAGCATTGGAAGCCCTTTACCCACCTGACCCTGTTCGATATAATGCTGACTGGGATCCCTGGTGGAGCTCAATTGTTCCATGATTAGGACTACGGTACACAGGACTGTAGTAAGTTCTGCCTTCATAGATAGGGGTGATGTGCATGTCAGGAGATACAGTTGATCGTAATTCTTGTCCTAGTTGACTGTGTTGACTAGCATATGAACTCCTCAGGCCTAAAACCAAGAAGAGGGAAATATGTATATGGCCCATATCAATTAAAAATAATAAAGCTGTCATGCTTGAATCTTTCTTCTTTTAGCCATGAAAAGGTGTTAGTTATATCTACAGTTATAAAGATTTATTCATTAAACTTCTTTCTATTATTAAATGAGCCATACTGAAAGATTAATTCACAAAGCAACATTTCTTTGGTGAAAAGTTTTGTCCGTACGCTGGCAACTTTAATTTTTCCAACTCAATTTTTTCAGTAGCATTTATAGTTGAAAGTCTAAAACATACAGAGTAAAAGCTAAGTCAGCATGTGCAGTTCACGGATTCAGCAATGACAAGGTAAATTGTGAACCTGACAGAAATCCGGTTGTGAAATAGGGCACAGCCTAAAGGGGGTCATAATCCTGAAAATGAAACAATATGTAGCAGTAAGAGCAAAAGTCATCTTGGTAGTGGCAGCAGAGATTTTAAGCATGTGAAGAAAAGTCTTTATAAAGGTTTAAATAGCCCATGATGTGCGTATATATATTTTTCTATGCTGCAGCTGTATGAGAATCTCTTTTTTCACCTTGCCTTTGAGCTGTCCCTCTTGAGTGCCTTTTAACTTATCTCTGTCTCATTTAACTTAAATTCCTCAGCAGTGGACCTCCTGCTACCACTTTTGCAGTGCTAGATCCAAGTACATTATTGGCAGAGGTGCAGAACAGCTTTTCAATAACAGTGTTTTGAATACCACTACACAAGTTCAGACTTGCTTCTCCTTGTGAAGGTTCCCCCTCTACCTGCTTCATGAAAACTTCATTCATGTTGCCTAGAATTTCTTTCCGTGCATTCCACTGTGTTACTGTACTTCTGTAACCACCACTGATGTGTATTTCTCCTTACCATTTTGCTAACTAAATTCGCAACCTATCACCTATTAAGTTCACTGTTGCCATCCTGGTTAGGAGATTAGTGGTACAGTGTTAATCCTGTATTTCTTCTTTTTTAGCCCGGAAACATTTTTTGACATATAGCACCACCCCTCCCATTGACTATCTAATGCGCACTTTGTGTATTCTTTGCTTCCTGGTATTGGTGTTGTACTAACTAGCTACCTTCCACAAACTTTCTCATCTATTTTTAATGCTTTCATTTAAAGCATCCTAGTTCCCTTATTTTATAAGCTATACTTCCAGAGTCTACAGAGAAGCACTAATATACTAAACTGGGTAGCGGAAAAATAGTTAGAATTTAGTTAATTCTGACAGTTCTTTACCATTCCCTCCTTGAGCTTTGTCAGCTTCTATGCTGCTCTTAGAACTGAGGGTACAGAGCTTTTGCAACTAACACGATGCATCACCCAAAGTAAAAGGTCTTCTGCAGTCATCAGTTTTTCCCCTACCTCTGCTCTTAAAAAAAAACTCTTTTGGAAGCACTTCAGAATTGTTGTATTTCAATACTCCTCTCTAATCTCCCACATTTCTGTATCATGTTTCGCTGCCCTACACACTCCTAACTGACAGTCTCCCTGGCCAAACCTTTAGCTAGCTAAGTAGCAAACAAGCCTCAGATGCTCATATTTAACAAAATGTAAGCCAAGCCCATATTTATTTTCAAACTTAGTTTACTTATATATTATATAATTGCTACACAACACTTCTGCCACCTACACCAACTTAGGTTTTGAGTATTACCCTCCCAGGAAAATTCTCTTTAATTTTGAAAATCTATATTCCAGTCTCTTGAATTTTTACTTCCTTTGAAACAATTACACAATACTTCTCCTTTTGCCTCTTAGATTTACCTTGCCATGGGGTCCTCTTCCACTCTGACTTTTCTTTACTGCATCTTGCAATGGCCTAATCTCCCCTTCACCCTTTTACTCCTGTTCTTTCTGCTCTTGGCATTCTTTGTTTATTCTGTGATTTCACCAGTTTTGTTCTCTTAATTAAATTCTTAAGAGTAAAGATGACCAAATATACTTCCCATTGTACTACAGTAAATAAGTGTGACAATCACATACATCCCACTTGGTCTCAGACCAGCATTCCTCATGCTTCTCCTCCTACACTGCTAACCTAATTTTTTCAATCTTACAACAAAATTTATCGTCATCTTTCTTGCCTAAAATTATATGCAGAGATAATCCACAAGATTCACTCACTACATCAAACATAAATTGTTAACATAGTTAGAAAAAAGCTAGCAAATTAGTATGTAACATACGGGTGGTATAGCTAGGGCAAACACATTTTTAAATGTGTAGCCATTCACAAATTCAAGTAGGGCATAAAACCATCATAATTTTTGGTTTTAAATTAATACTGTTTTGTCCACTTCGGCATTACCATTGTAAGCTGCTAAAGCTTTAGCAGCTATCAAAGCAATAGAATATGCTAAGTGAACTATGCAAAGGTAATGAAATGATGGAGATTATGGAACAACTTCAAAATACAATTAAGTAGTGATGTGTAACCAAATGTATCCTGCATTTAAGTATTTTTCCCCCCAAAATCACAGACCTCCTGTATCACAGTGTCTGCAAGGAAACCTTTGGGGGTCTCACAGGTCATGACTAAGAAACCACATCTATCGGTGGTGAAAACAGAGGGACTTCACCAAAGCAAAGCAGGCAACTGGAGCTATGTCCAAAGCAAAGCAGGTAATTGGACCTATACCTCCCAGATGACAATGCTGCCTCCTGAGAAGACACTCATATTAACATTACAGTTTTCCCAGAACATGCACCACATGGATACCCTTCTTAGAGGACTGTAAGCACAGAAGGAAGAGAGGTCCTGATCATATATCTGTCCTCTCCTTCAGCTTACATAGCAGGGAATAGTTCTGGATTATATTAAAGGCTGCTACAGTACTAACCTTCCCCCCCATCCAAACCTCCTCTCAGAAAACTGATCATATACAAATTTGAGTTTAAGATGTCAGGTATTATACTGAACTGTTCCCTCTAAAGAAACATGAAAACTAATTTATACTAGAAAATGTAACATCTTTTTAATAATACTGAGGGATTCTTACTCATAGTTTGTAACCTAGAGCACAGGTAAGTCATAGCATTTCAAGTTTCCTGGAAAGATTACAGTGCAGATGGCTATAAAATAAGATGCTCTCTAAGCTTGACTACCACAGCTCCTAACTACTTCCTTAATACTAAAAGCATTAAATTTAAAGCATCTGTTTCTGAATTACTGATTCACTATCCCAATAACTGCTTTTTTCTAAAGATGTATCAGTTCACCTGTTTAGACAAGGTGATATTCTCAATCAGTGGTATTTGTAAAATACCTTAATACTATTTTAAGAGTACAAGATTGCTGTTACATCACAAATTATGCAGCCCACTGGACTGCATTCATTTAAACTACTGAATAGCCTTTCATGTCAAACTGGGGGGTGGGGGGTGTCCCCTTATCAAACTGGTAGATTACTGCGTCTTGCAAACAGAGGTGAGGGAGAAGACACATACCTTTTGCTGAAAAATGAGAATATTTTGAGAATTCCTGCAGTATAACAGCTTAAAAGAAAAACCAGACATTGCAGTCTGTTCAAAAGAGTCTATGGTCTAACTGCAAAATGACCTTGTCTGTGCTCATTTAGATGAAAGTCAGAACAAAACCAGCAACACACACAGAACTTAAAATGTAAAGTAACTGCATCTTAATAAGAACTGCCTCTCAGATGAACAGATTCTACCTTTTAGGGCATTATTTTAAGCTAATACTACAATGGTTACCCTATATTTAAGCTGAAGTACTTTGAGATAGCCTAGACATATTAGGGGAAAAAAAGAATAAAATTCAATGGTACAAAGTTATATATTTTAAGAAAGAACTAGACATTAAACTAGTTCCAGCCTAGTATCTTTTACTTTGTGTATAACGTGCACATACATTTAAATGTACTTTATCTTCGAAAATACTGAAATGCCTCTGTTTGGAAGACTCAGAATTCTACTTAGCTACTTAAAACATACGATTTAGTCTAATGCAGAGCTAGCAATCTGGTAATTAGAGAGAAACTCATGGCATGATTGATACATAGTGTTTGACATCAATATTTACAACTGATTTGATACATCCACCACAGATTTCACAACTTAGTGCTACAACATTTCATCCATAAAAAGCCTAGGTGTTTTCTACAGCTGTAGGTTTGTTTTAAGCTGTGTCTTTACCTTTTTACTAACCTGTAAGGCTATCTGGACGTGGAGGGACCATTCTCTCGTATATATCATACTGCTGTCCATATTGTTCAATATCATGAATTGTTCTTTGCAGTGTTGCTCCCAAATGCTGTGGAACTGCAGTCATGCCAGAACGCTTCGGGGAAGAAGATCCCAGCTGAGTTTGGGATGGAGAAGCTACTCTGGTTTGTATATCAGTAAGGGCAAGAGGAGAGCCGACTCTGACCGATGTCTGGTACTGGGAAGTCCCGCCATTGGGATTTGCCGTCTGTCTGGATGTAACCGAGCCAATCCGCCGCACAGCCGTCGGGGAGGCAGGTCTCTGAGCAGCATACGGGGATGCTGCCCGCTGTACTGGCAGAGTAGTGGATGCGTACGCATGAGAAGTAAGGGATCTTTGCTCAGTAACTGATGGAGAACCATACCCGCTACCCAGAGACGTTCGCAGCGACCCCCTTGAAGGGGAAACACCTGTGCTGACCATGTAAGAGGGAGACTGTGCTCTGGATGGGACTGAACTGACACGTCTCATGACTCGGTTGGTAGTAATATTTACTGAAGGCTGTTTAAAAACAAAAACATTTGATAGATTTATCATTTAGGCCATATAGTGGATACTTTTCTCCCGTAAGACAGAGAAGTCAACAAGAAATGCACACAATTTAACAATATATAAAAGCAGCTGAAGACTAGCTTTTACCCTAAATGTAACTCCTTCCAGTTTTCCTATAAAATAACTTTTTTCAAACCAGTATTTCTTAACATATAAAATGGCAATTTAACATTGAAAAACCATTCATTCCCCATTTTTATTTGGCTTTCTATGTTAATATGCACCTATGCTTGCTTTCCTCACTACTCCACTGCTTTGGAGATTCAGGAACAGTAATGCAAAGAGTTCTAGTATAAGCTGAAGAAGTTTTGTCCATTACTGTCTCACTATCATTCTGATTAATGAAAAAGGAGGGTAAAAAAGCCAGAAACAGTAGAAGGTACAGGAACACAAATACCATCTTCATTTAAGCACTATGTTTACATACAGGCTAAATTCTAGGAGGTTTTCCCCAATATCACGACTGAATTTCAAATGAGTGATACTTTCTTGAGATTATATTAGCAGTGTACTCTGCAGTCAGGAGTCCTCAGAAGTTCTACTTAATTTCAGCTGCTGTGAATGAACCAGATCACATGCATGCTGATTTCAGCAAACAAGTCCATGTGTGCTGCAAGCCATTTCTGCTTTTTAACTAGTAAAGGTGTTAAATAAAAGTGTAATTTAATGACATCGGTTATGGCCTATACAAAGGTAGGTCCAGCTATTCGACTACTGTCTTTAAAACTGTGTTATAGACAGTGTACAGAGATAAAGTGTACTATTTTGAGCATACCTGGACTGAAGTCTGCCCTTCAGCTCGTGAGCTTCTCACCAAATGGTTATTAGCAGTTCCAATGAGGGAATGCTGCTGTCTGTTTTCTGATTTGCTCAAGTTTTGGCTGTTATGGAAACTGCTTACTTCCTGGTAACCACTGTCAGAATAAGAATTCATTTGTGTTGAACTTCTTGAGTTACCTACAGACCCTGTAGATATGAAGCCAGTGTAAGAATAAAAGCATCGAACAACTTCACAAAAATATTATATAACTTTGTTATTTGTTGCATTCATAATTGTACTACATTTTTATACAGTCAATATAGAAATATATTCTAATATTTAAAAAGCACACAACAGACCCTCACTTTCATGGAGAGATGTCTGTTCTGGTGAGTAGAGGTTCCCTTGTTCTGGTTCTGTCCTAATGTCATAGGCATTGGTATGAACACTCTCTGACACTTGCGGTTTGTTTACACTGGTGGTCGTAGGATCTGAAAGAAGAAATTGATTAGATCAATCCAACGTTTCATATGTAAGTTTCCTGCAAACTCAATCATAATAACAAAGAACTTACTTCCACCATGAACAGGGTCTACTGGTAGAGAGGTATCATCTACCAAACTATATGAAAAGAATGTTAATACTAACATCTGAGAATCTTCTTTCCTGTAGTTTTGATGTCGTTCTACAATTCTAATTTTTCAAATGTACGTTCCAACCTATTTTAATGAAAAATGTAATTGATTACCTGGTAAGTATACTTTGCAGAGTGAAACACTGTGCAACTGTGTTGTAGTGCACAGAGGGTAACTATCACTTCTCTTAAGGTCCTATAATCTCAAGAGCTTCGTAAGTGAAAGGATGAGTTGAATTTCATCCCTGTTCATGTACCATCAACAGAAGTTGCTGCAAATTTTATACATTTTTTACTTCATATACTACTATCCAAATGTTTTTAACTACTCTTAAGCTGATTTCAGTTCTAAGAATATTAGCTGAACTTTACAGACAGCAAAGTGCCATCATACAGAAGGGAAAGTAAAGGAGACATCACAACACTGTCATGAAGAAAGGAAAAAGTTAAACAGTCCAGAAAAAAAGGGCAAAGATGAAGACATGAAACAACAAGAAAATTTTGACAGAACTATTAAGCATTCAATTGCCATCATGTTACACTTATTGATGAAGAACAGGCATCAGAGATATACATAGAATCATTTAGGTTGGAAAGACCTTTAAGATCATAGAGTCCAACCGTAAACCTAACACTGCCACATCCACCACTAAACCACGTCCCTAAGCACCACATCTACACGTCTTTTAAAAACCTCCAGGCACAGTGACTCAATCACGTCCCTGGGCAGCCTGTTCCAATGATTGATAACGTGAAGAAATTTTTCCTAATATCCAATCTAAACCTCCCTTAAGGAAGGGGAGTAGGAAATGTGGGTTACATTTAAAGGTAACACCAGATACATAAATTCTTACTGAAGAAATACATGAACGAGCCTAGAGTGGAAACCAAAAGGAAGATGCTAGGAAGCAATAGTCTAGTAAAAACTTCTGTGACTGCTTCATGTCAAAAGTTGCGAGTTGTGGACAGTGAAGCTTGCAAAGTGCTCTTTGAAAATGAATGTAACAGCACATTGCAGAGAGGCAAAACTGTAAGGAGTTGGCAGAAATTTGATACTAGGAGGAAGACAGAAAAAAGGGCTGAAATAAATTCTAACAAAGCTAACAAACTTTCTTAAACCAACAAAGAATACCCTGATATAAAAATCTAGTGGCACTCATGGGAAAAAATCCCACGGAAAACTAACAAAACACAAACCAAAATAACCCTGACAGATGAGCTGTTGGAAATTCTTCATAACAGTTGTTATTACAGTATACTTCAAAAGTGAAATAAAAAAGAGACTATTTGTACCTATCAAGCTGTAAAGAAATGCTCTGATTTTTACCAATAGCTGTATGCAAAAAGCTGTTGTCTCACTATTTGCACAATTAGCCATAAAGGAACATTCATACTAAAAATGTTACTCATTAATTGCTATTATGAGGAATGTTTGAACACTATTCAAATACCAGATTTAAAAAAAAAAAATTTAAAAATCAGTACATCTCAGAAATTATGGGCAGTCAGCATAGTTATCAGTAGTACATTCTTAGGTCAAAACCATCTAGTAAAATTTGACACTCATTAATTTACTATAATAGGAGTATTATGACCAAACTTAATTAAGATTTAACAAGAAGTGTTACTACACTTTCATTAATTTAATCACTAGTATGCCTAGAAATGATACAGAGCACCAACACTGAAATAACGCACTTCCACAGCTCCTGTTACACTAACTCAATAACAGATCATAACAGACATCTGTGGGTATTACATACTCTTTGGAATAAAATACTTGCGGGGACCGAGACATTTAAATTATGATTACATTCAACTTCAGTATTTTCATCTTCAATCTTTTTTGTCTAAATAATATAAGGCCCTGTTATTTTAGTTACTTGATATTACATGATACTAAATCAATGTCAAGCTCACAAATAATCAATTTTGGGAGAAACACGTAGAAGAACAAAGTTCCAATTATGCAGTGCTGTACAGATGTTCCTAAGACAGAGGTCTGAATGAAAACCTCGCTTCCATCACACATTTGCCACCAAGCAAATGCTTTCACTATGCTAAAAAATAGAGATTGTTTAGGATCTCTAACAAAGGCAAGAATGCACAATAAAATGAATTGTTGTCTTTCTATCTCTCTCTGCTACTATAAATGAGGGGAGTGCCCTGAATGAAATAATAGCCTTTTTCTAAATGGCTGCTGATCTAATATTCTATTTATAAGCGTCTGCAAAACAACACCTTTTTGTATTTCTGTTAAAAATTCTGTATAATTCTACTGTGCATAAAGCAATTACAGCTAAGGTGACATCACATCTTCTACTGAATTTTTTTTTTATATAAACTACTATCTGCAGTGAGGAAAAGAAGTGATTTAAGGGAGTGTTTTCATTCATCTTTAATTTCAGTATTTTTCAGATTGCAGTTGGTAAAGCATCATCTAGTGACATTTCTTCAAAACAAAGCTCAAGAGTGAATCTAAGTAAAACCTACTCATGCTATAGTAAAACCTATATCATGCTATAATCACGGCATAAATGTAAACATTAACCAAAATGTATATCAAAGTTCTAAACAAAAAATGTATTTTTTTCAAATATGCCCACTTCTGAGCAATTGCTCCAGAAAAGCCTCAGTTACGTAGAGTTGTGAGAAATATACATCTAGATTTATATTAATGCATACAATATTTAAATAGAAATATGATTTTTTGCCATATGTTAAGTGACTTCTTAGCAGGGATGTGCACAGGAGATTTCTAAAGAAAAGAAACACAAATGGGAGGAGAGAATGAAAGGATAAAATAAAAATATGAGCTGCATCGATGAGAGAAAGAAAGAGAGCAACCAACAGAAAGTCAAGGAGAAAAACAAACAACAGACAAAGAGTAAGTTACAGGAAAAACTGAGGAGGAAATAAAGAAATGGATAGGGTTGGATGAGATAAATCATCCAATAAATGACTGAGGTCTGTCAGAAAGTATCTTTACAGTTGTGAACTGTCACTGGAACATTATAGAACCACGGGAAATTATGTGATTTTAAAAAAAAACAAAACACAAAAATAATTTTCACATTGAAAGCATAAGTAAAACTAATTTCTCAATTAGTTGAAAAAACAAATTTGACTTCTGTTTAAAAAACATTGCTAAAAGAATACCTCGAAAGCACCATCATGACTAGCAAAATTTAAATGCCACAACAAGTAGGCTGTTGAGAATATTAGATTTGAAAGAAAGGAAAAAAGCTAATGTGTGCCTCACCTCAGCTGAGGCGATACCATGGTGGCAACTGAAACCATGTAAATACAATTATGCACAAGTTTAAGAGCTTAGCCTCTTAATAAAAACAAAAACCAGCAATGGGTAGGGGAAGGGAAAGTAGATAGTTTGAGAGACTTATTTACCTAAAATAGTCACAATTATCATAATTATGAATATGCTTCAGTGAACAAGCAGATAACTACAATGTGTTTATTCTTTGTACAGCAGAAACTGGATCGCTTTTAAAGCTGCATGCATCCTTATATAAAGATATGATATTAATACTATACCGAATTTGGTTAATAAAACTTTTAACAAGCTACCTAAAATGCTAATTGCATTTTGACTACATTAGACCAGGTTTACTTAATATGACATTCTGTCAAGACTACATGATTGAATTAGAGAAACACGATCCAGTGCAAGAAGTAATTCGCAGGGAGTCAAGGTCCCATCTCTGGTCCTGCTGTGCGGTTTTGACATATTGACTTCTGCACATACACTTCATCACTCTAAAGAGACAACCACTGTCCAGAAGATTGACTTTTCAATGTTAAATATTTTAACTGATGCAGAAAGCCTAACTAGTTAAATGCTCTGATCTGTGAAGGACAGATTGGATTATTTCAAAAGACACTTGAATGTCGCTTTTAAGATACAGTCCTATCCATTCCACCTAATATACTCAAGAGTAGATGTAGAAGTACTACAAGACAAACGTTTCTTGTTTTGGGAAAAAAGTTTGAGCTATCCTGAGATACAAAACAGAAAAAGAACTCTCAGAAAAACCTTCACTTATTGGAGATTTTCTCAGTTAAGTAAGAATATCTGTAAAAAGAAAATAAGTTTTCAAGCTTAAATATACAGTGTTTTTTCATGATCCTTACCTGCCAAGGGGAAGACTCAAACGTATTTTTTAATTAATTGCAAAGGAGAGCCAATACACAAGACTGTTGTTATGGTCACATCAAACACAAAAATGCAAAGGCACAAAAAGGTGCAAGAAAAGTACCTGCAACTACCTCTAAGCCAAAACAACCTTTTACAATAACAGAGGAACACACAAATCTCTTCACGTGTGAGAAAGAGGATATTAATATTATACTTTAGAAAAGATAGTTGAAAAAGATATGTAGCATTGCTGCTAATGTTCAGTTCACTTCATAACAAGAAGTGAATGCCAAGAAAATAAAGTTTGAGGCAAGCAAAATGTACACATAAAAGATAATACCTGACGATCTCCAAGGAAATGACTTCTCAGTAGAGCTGCAGAAAGAAAAAAAATTATCACAAAAATGAACCATGTGGCTAGTTTGGATTTTTAATTTTTTTAACCAGAGCATACAGAATTGTACAAAAAACCTCAGCAGACAAAGTTTCAATAGCCCACGTAAATAACACTCTGCAGCACTTTACACCTGACAACTAAACCATTTGTTATTGATTTTAATTTTGTATTATTCAACGGAAATGCCCTGTAACTTACTGCATGGCAAATTATCAAGCAGCCTAACTTATCTGCAACAGGACAGACAAGAGCATGACTTGTGATACGCACTTGCTATAAAGGTGTAATGACATAAATAAAATAGTATATAGCAAGTGTTCACAGTCATATGTGCATGATTAGCAGTAAACAAACCACTTCAAAGACAGGAGTATTCACTGCTCGTGGTAGGGTCTAGCAAGGGAAGTTTGGGAATCACAATTCTTGAGCATTTTGCTTCTACATGTAAAGCAGTTTGAAAAAAATGAACAGAAACAGACCTACAGTTTTTACTGTTATTTCATTTTCCAGTTTTCCAGAGAAAATTCTGATCCTTTGTATGTGATGAGAAGTCAAACCATCTGACACATCAAAACATGTACACCTCTAAGTGTTAAGAAGATAACGGATTTTACATTGTCAAGGTTAAAGAGATGCCTTAAGATACAACTATTTCACAAGATCAAGCAGTTGTTTAGTATCAGTGTAAATGCTTACTTGTCTTATATTTTTCCAGTAACTATTTTATATCAAACTATCTTAACCATTTTTTCTTCTACAAAGCAATGTTCTTTCATGTGTTGATAACAGTATTGATGCACGACTACCTTTGCAGACAAATGCAAAATTCATCCATGTATTATTAAAATTAGATACATTTTTCCATAAAAATATGTAGAGTATTTCCTCACTCTACATATGAACTATCAAACTTTGAATATTAAATCATTTTTGCAATGATTATAAGCTGCTATCTTCCAAACAAAAAGCTATTTAAAGAAAAAATAGGCAAGTCCATCAGATTTTATGATGTCTAAATATCAGCATGAAACTGTGATTTTGGGTAAGATGTACCTATTTCTAAATTAGTATTATTTATTTTACTTCTTTCTACCACAGCTACCAATTACAAAAAACTTTAGCACAGCAACATGAACAACACTAGATACTATTTTCTAAAACAAAACCAGTCATTTAGGAGCCTTTTTTGGAAACAAAGTATTTGTGGTATTTGTGTATAAGAGTGCTAAACTTGCATACTAGCACAAACTAAACTACAATTACAATGAAATGTAAAGAAAAAGGAGAATTCAAATGCAGGCTTCAAGCATGTTCAACCTTAAGCCAGGTTCATATCTAGGTAGTAACAGAATTTTTACTATGTATTGGCTATTCTTTCCCTCAGTCTACAATTTTAGTATCTTTTGGGGTGCTACACTTATTTTTTCTTTAGAATGTAGATAAAGTGGACCAGTTAAACAGACTGAAACTTGGTGTATAGAATTACAGGTGAAGAGTTGAACTCCAGACTGAGGCTTTCCAGGCTCATCTGCCTTCAGAAGTTTCTTTGTGTTTGACTGTATTTCCGAGATGCTTGTGGAGAGAAGGGTGCTCAAACACAGACCATCAAATTCAGGTGCATGCCTGAACTTTCAGATATTTTCTTTTTCCTGAAGGACCATCTTGTCCAAGCCCAGAAGCACAAATATCTTAAGTTTAGACAAAGACAAAATCACTTAGTGGTACTGGAACAAAAGTCCAATGTCAGAAACACTAAGTAAGTACATGAACAAAAATCAAACTACATGCCAAAACAGGATAAGCAACTAGTTCAATTGAATGTCATCCTGTGGGTTTAAGTAGGATAGTTTAAGAAGTTACCCTACAACCACCAGCAGCTACCTTCCCCAAAACTCAGCTACTGTGACCATGTGAGTTCTGTCATTCCACCTGAGCGCAAAGCCAGGTGGATTAGTTTAAACTACCTTTAGTGGTATAGTTTAAATTGGGATTTAAACAAACCCAGATTTTGCATGACAGAACCTGCTAAGGCGTTTCAGGAAAGAAGGTCATAGCCTCCAGCTAACAGGAGGTAATAAATGGCTACAGATGGTTATTTCTTAAGCTATTACAACTTTCTCCAAAGAAGAACAGACTAAGTGAACATGGTACACAACCTAGACAGCCCCGTGAAAAACCAGAAGTATCTAGAGACAGCCGGAACTCTGCAGCAAAGGAACTGTACCACGATCACCTGGCTATTCCAGAGCAGTAAGCAGTGCCAAGACCACCAAACCTCAATTTTTGCACAGCCTTGGGCTACAGTTAATTGAATTTAAATAAAAAGTTACAAATGTTTCTCATTTCTAGTACACCACCATGGAATCTAACTAGTGCATTAGCTCCAGAATGTTTCTTTGGCATATTCTGGGGATTGTAACTACATGCCAAACTCAATTCTGTGCAACTTCACTCTTTTATTGCTTGCAAACTAAACCTTGTAACTATTTTGATAAAGCCTTTAAAAATATTTCTATTGTTAAAATTCATGAGGAAATTTGTACCAAAACTGGTATTGAATTCAAAAGAATTTGTATAAACCGGAATGAATTTTAATTATTGAAAGCTGAGTTCTGAAAGTTAATCTACATAAATTCTTTACAGACTATGTTCTTTATTCTTCAGCAAGCAAACTTGCAATATATGGGTTCTTTAATCAGTTACTGTTAGACTATTCATTAATACTTTTCTCCACTGAAATGAAGAAATATGAAAACTATTTGACAGATACTGTGAACATTGGCCCCAGAATTCTCATGCTACCCGAACATCAAGTTTTACAGTCTTCACCTTTTACTTCATTCCTCAGACTTTCTGGAAACTCAATTCCTTATAATGAGATGACATCATTCTGGGGTGCTAGGAAAGGTAAAAAGTGCTAAGCATACAGAAATACTTTACTCTTACATACACAAGATTATAAAAACCCCAAACGTATCTCTACCCCATGCATCTGGCTAACTGAACTTTCTTTACATGTACAGAACTTATGAAGGATAAAGGTTGCTCTGACTATGGGTCATAAGTAGAAAGCTACTTCATGAAAAATTAAACTGGTTAACAACTTAACTTGATTCTTATTAAATTATTTTTGCAAAAGTCCATCATCTACCACTTACTGACTTCATCATCTGATTTTGTCACCTTAGAGATGAAATGTTTTGAAGTCACCAAATCTTTCAGCTTTGATAAGTAAGTCTAATGCATTTTAATTCTTCTGTTTAAAAACCAGTGTGGTCAAATATTGCACTGCCAATGAGAGGCTGCTGCCATTAACTAGTCATTATGCTGTCTCTCCCTGATATTAAAATGTAATCTATCTAAAGAGAGCCCACATGTGGTGCACTGCACTTCTAAAAATACTTAATTTTAGCCTAGTATTATCCTTGAAAAAGAATTAGGTTAGTAGGGTAGACATGCAGAAATTCTATTTTTCTTTCAGAATAGTTTGGTATGATGTATAGAGTTTTCAATTAAAGAAGTTAGAGATAAATATTATTACAGTATAGCAGCTATTTTTAAATACTATGGAAGGAAAGCATAGATAAAATATCAGACATACGGTCATGTACATGAAGAGAATTTTCTCTTCCTTTCTCAATCTGCTTCACAAAAGCACAAAGAATAAGTGAAATAAAACATAACTTTACACTAAGTGCAGATAAAATACATACACTGAAACATTAATTTTTTAGTGAGTAACACAAATATTTGGTAACTGAAGATGGAGCATGCATATAAACTCCGCTGAAACCCATCTATTCCCTTTTTTTTTTTTTATCCTTTGCATTTTTTCTTCCCTCACTTGTATTTCCTAAATATCTGGATTTTTTTGTTTGGTTGGGTTCAGGGGGTTTTTTTGTTTTTCTTTTGTCCCTTTCTTAATTTCACACCTTTTCTTTGCCATCTTACAGCTTTAGTTCAAAGCTGGTATCTTAGACACGAAATTAAACCAGCTGCCAATCTGGAAAAAAAAAAAAAATCTGATAAATGGAAAAGGTTGCATATGAGGTCATTTAGAGACAAAACATACCAAGTATCACTAGTACCATTTTACATTCCTCAAGCAACAGCTCTCAAATAAACACTTTCCAGCTTTGGATTTCTAAGTTAGAAAAGGAGGTCAACATTCGTCTCAGTCAAATGGCTATGACAGCTCAAGAACTTGGCCACACTTCAAAGGCAGAACTGGCTGGTCTAGGTCACGGCCAGATCTCTGACAGTACCTGTGTATGGGATAGCAAGGCTACAGGAACAATACTGAAGTTTAAGAAAACTACAGATTTCTAATTCTTGTTACAATGTCTTAAGCAGCATGCTATTTTTTAAAAATTATGTAAACACAACTATGATCTTCGGTTTCTAGACTGGACAGTTAACTTAAAATCTCAGTGCTACATACATTTTCTGCAGGTATTACAGAAAGAGTTTAAGCCTATTATCTTAGCAAGTATTCCGTAAGGTGAAGTGTATTTCTGATTTAAACAGTACTGCTTGAGAGAAAAGTAGTGATTTCCATTGCCTGTCTTAACTGCCTGAATATACCACTGTTGTCATTAAAAAGGCAACAGCTGAAAAAAATCACGTTATTTATTAAATATTTCCAAAATGGTGAAAAGCTGTAAAAAGCTAAATATATAATTCTGTTGAAAATGTATGTACTTCACATATATTTCTTTAGTATTTTAGTTTACTGCTTGGCTAAGCTTTCATCATTGGAATACATCTGTTCTGTCAGGCACCCAGTAGCAAATAGTTTATTCACAGGGATTCGTGCTTGCTGCTGGAGCTGCCAGCCAAAACTTAAGTGCCTGTTCAGACAGAATGTATTGTTTTACTTGTCCTTTATCTTCCGTTTTAAATATCTACATAAAGAACACATTTACAATTATATGCAGTATGAAGGCTTAAAGCTTTGTGTAACTGTAAGTTCTTGGTA